TTTTTTTTTTTTTTTTTGAGATCCATGGTCCATGGCCCCAAAGGGCTGCAAGGATGACACAGACAAATCAAGAAATGGTCCAAAATTCTCCAAAAAAAAACAAAAAAACAAAAGGCTGCATGCTGCTTGTGAAATGTCCAGCGGCATAGCTCAGTTGGTATAAGGCATGCAAAATTGCAAATGGCATTCAGGAGGGGTCTTGGGTTCCATTCCGAACGACCTCATGTGCCTTCGTGGGCAACCTTGACGCCCGCCACCTGGAAATACCCCTTACCCTGAGCGGCATTGAGCAGTGATTACTGATAGCGTAGGGGAAGAGGGGACCGTAGGGGAGGCACAGTGACGGGCCCTCCGAAGAAGCTCGGTCCTGATGCTCCCGGCTGTCGCCTGGCCGGAGTCACCCACCTGCAGGTCGGGTGCAGCCCCCACGTCCCCTCATTGGAGGCTTGAACCCGGACTGGCTGCTACAGGGTTCCCCATAATAATACTATAATATAATAATAATAATAATATATTAATAATAATAATGATAAAAAAACGGACCTGAAAAGCCGTCCTGTCCATATTGACCGGTATTTAACAGATGTCCCAAGGGGCATTTCAAGGACCTGAAAGGCCTTCTTTAACAGAGAAGATTAGCATGGCCCCTGCGCAGGGAACAGAACCATAAACCAAAAGAATTACCCTTACCCAAAAAAAAAAAAAAAAAAAAAAAGGCTGGTGCTTGAAAAAAAAAACAGAAAAGAGGCTGGTGCTTGAAAAAAAAAAAAAGGGGTTTTTTTTTTGAAATGCCCCTCCAATTGCCATTTCTTTGCGGTATGCCTCAGTGGCACGACAAGGTAAGTCGGCTGTTGGAGGGGCATATGCGCAAATAAATGGAAGTCGAAGGGGCATTTCGAAAATTTCCCCAATATTTGTTTTTTTCTTTTTCCCAAGACGTAGCAGCGACAACTGTATTTCAAGAGAGAGAACATGCGGGAGGGAGGTGCACCTGACCAGCAGCTGAGCTATACCAACCAGGGGACAGAAGGTAGCATGAGGGATCATGTCAACAGGACCAATCCCTGCGCCTCCCCTCAGGTCCCCTCCCCTACGAACATTGGCGGATTCTGCTCAATGCCGATTGGGGGATCAAGTGAACCCAGGAAGGCGCCAAACATGCCCAGGAAGACACATGAGGCAAATGGGGATTCGACCCAAGGAGTGGTTTGGATTATCCAGAATCGCTATTGGGTAAAGAAAAATAGACCTCCCTCCCCACCGACCCCCCCAAAAAAAAAAAAAAAGAAAAAAAAAAAAAGAAAAAAGAA